AAAAAAAAAAAAACAGAAATGTCACAATATAGTAGCAAAAACATAGAAATAAAATATAGCTATTGGAGAAAATGGAAGAAGACCGAAGGAACAAACTCTGAAATATAACAAAGAAAATATTATTAAAATACAAAAGAAAACAAATATACAAAATTGGTGCCTCAGACTTAACCTTTTTCATTATATCAATTCAAAGTATATTTAAACCCATCACTGGCACTAAACCATGTAAAGCTAGTATTGTCCAACTACAATAGTACAACTTAGCTTGAAATGTAGAGCATATAGTTGAATGTTGCAACAAACAGAAAAGCAAAGAATAGGAACACAGCACTAAAAAACAATAGGAACACACTTACGAAACATGAGATACACACAGCATTAAAAACAATAGGAACACACTTTAAAATAATTTGAAAATGCCTTCCACTAAAAACAATAGGAACACACTTTAAAAATACTTTGAAAATGCCTTCCACCACTGGCACTTGAGCTATACCGCTACAATATTCTCAAGTGAATGTCTGAAATGGCTGAATGACATCAAAGAAATCTTTACCAAAGAAAATCTTTTTTTAACAACTTAGTTTGAAGAGGAATACCAACACAAGAAGACACTTTGGTTTACTCTGCATATCATCCTAGAATTTAGACTAAGAAGAATAAATGCTAGAAATTACACTATTTGAAAAATTCAGGGTCAACAAATAAAGCTGATCTCAGAATTCTAAGAACAGGTTTGACAGTTTAAAAGGATATACAAAGTGCCTCAGATAACAAGCTTTTTCATTGTAACTACTCAAAGTATATTTAAAACCATCACTGGCCCTTGAAAGTGGAAAAGGAATACAGAACAAATGATGACCACTTAGCCATGCAGATTACAACACAACACACAATATATTGTCCAATCTACACTGCTTCACAAACCTGGAAATCCTATAACAATCTATTAAGAAGACTGCAACTATAGATTTAGAAGGAAATGAATAGAAAAGGCCTACGAGTGAAGAACAATACAGGCATGCATCAGAGAGATTCCCAAGACAAATCATCATATTTCAAAGAAGTCTGATGTCCCTGTCTAGTTTAACATCACTTGCAATATGTACTAGCTCTATCTCACATATATAAACCCTAAACAAAATAGAATAATGTATCTGTCTGATCATTGTATTTACAATTTATTAGCAAGACTTAAACTATAAAATTAACAGGGAACAATTAAGAAAAAGTCTACAAGAACACAAATGATAAACACAGAAAATGCATCAAAGAGATTCCCAAAGACAAAGTCATCATTTTTCAAAGAAGTCTGATGTCCCTGTCTAGTTTAACATCATTTGCACTTCGTATTTGCTCAATTTAAATAGATGACGGGTAATATTATTAGAATAAGAAACCAATCTGATCATTGACAAACCCAAAAATTCCATATACAGAATACTATATGTATCCATGACACCTATCCCATCTCAATTGAGCATACTCACAATTGGATGTGGATGAAGATTATAATATAATCACAAAAATATGAGAAAGAAATACTCGAATCTAGAAAATTTGAAAGCATGATCTAATAAAAAATGTTGAATCAGCATGAAAGAGTTGAATCCTAGATAACAAACATATAATTCAAAGGCACACTCAAAGCCTTCATTTTCCTATGCAGAACTGTTGATTACATGGATGTCTTTGGAGCCCAAATACTATTTAGGCTTCAACAAAGAACACCATTCAAATTTCCGTTCTTAGATGCAATCATCAGGCCCCTCAAAGAAATCTATCTATAAGCTAGCTATAGGATCATGTATAACCCAATAACTAACATAACAAAAAACACCAAAATAATGTGTTTGGACATCCTATGAAACATGTATGAATTTTTAAACAAGAATACATCTTTCAAGAGGAAAGATGAACATAAATGTGTCCGAATATTCAAGACGAACCAAAAATCAATGTGTTTGGACATCCTACGAAACGGTGTAAAATGATCTCAATCTACGAAGGATAGTTATATGTTAGAGAGTTCTCAATGTTGAGGACCTAACTCTCTGCTGGGATCTTCGCAAAATACACATAGAAAATCGACAGTTTCAAAATCAAATAATAAAAAACAAAATTTAAGCAGAGATGACAGTATCTCCACTTTAATATATATGAACTTGATATGCCTCAGCGGTAGTGACAATTACAATTCATCAGCAATTAATCTGATAATACGTGCATTTGATACATCATTGGCATAGGCACTAAAAAGAGATAAGGCACATTCAAACAAAAAAATAGATTAATAGATAAGGCAAATTCAAACAAAAAAATAGATTATTCTGAGAAAGATATGATAAAACCCAACAAAAAATTTCAAAACTGTGAAAGATGGAAAATATAGAAGCACGCAACTCAAATATAATCCATAGCCATTCTATGGAGTTATAAACTGTGAAAGATATGATAAGTCACTCACCACTGGATGATGTTCAATTAATGAGCTTAATGAACAAAAAAAATTAAGAAAACCTTAGGCAATATTGGAAAAAATTAGATGATGTTTTAACTTGATGATGGCTTTAATTTAATTATTTTTGTGTGTCAAAATTCAAACATATGTAAAGCTAAAAAATCTTATTAAACATCATACAAATTTATATCAAAGGACCTAATGTAATAATGTTATTAATATGAAATTAAATGAATACATTCTGTGTGTAAACACATTATAAATTGAGGAATACTCAGCTAAAGCATAGTAAGTAAGATTAGTCTTGGATGAAGCATGAAAAAAAGACAGGTAAATCAAAGGATAATATACCTACAAAATGAATGATTCATGAGTTACACATTACCTCTGCAAAAAAAAAATGATTCTTTTATTGTATACAGCATCAAAATATCAGTACTTAACATTAAATCCCTCTGTTCGTAGACAATCTAAATGAGCTTTAATCCACTTAGAACAAGCATCTTCTCCATGCTCAACAATACACTCATCTCTTAACCTCTTAGTATTAGGACAAGCACAACAAATCTTCTTCTTAGGCTTTGTATCGGAACTAAAATTGAATGAATTACTTCCAGACATTGTAACCTCACACAAACCACCAATTACCTACCATACAAATTTGAACAAAAAAATATGATTTTTTATGCAATAAAAACTTAAAAAAAAAAAAAAAAAATTAAACAAA